GGTCACCAACGCTTTGACACCAAAACTCACTTGTTCCCTTATTAACAGCCTGATTTCTGAGGTTGGTGAGAAGGGCAGGTGCTCTGCCCCTCCCTGGCATACCTGAGCTGCCGGGGCTGGGTGCTGACACCCCTGTCTTGATTTTAGGGCAGCGGGGGGCTGCCCTGTCCATTGCTCCCTCCCCTGCCCGCTGCAGGGCCACTCTCCAAACCCACTTTCTGCCTCATCAGGGAAGCGGGAAAAGCGATCAATGGCTCCAGCTCTGGCTTTAGAAAGTGGATTAGGGCCAGTGAATAGGAACTGTCTCTCTAATGAAGTGCTATTACCAACAGGCTAATTGAGTAATGACATAATGCAGGCCCTTGAAGCTCTTTATAACGGACCATGACTCCGAGCAGTGACACGCCGCCACTTCCTCGCCTTGCCCTGCTCTGCCTCCAGCACATCGAGGCAAAGGAGGCTCAATGTGCAGCACCGTCCTCCCGGAGCAGCCACAGACAAAGTGTCGCCAGCATAACCCTGCGTGGAAAATGCGGAGGTGGAGGGGAACCCGGACTAATTAGCTCGGGAGCCGCCAATCTCCTCCATGTGAAACGTGAGCCTTTTTATTGGGAAAAGTAAAACAGGCCTCGCATTGCTTTTAGGGAGCCCAGTAAAACAGAAGGTGATCCGTAAATATGTATGTTATGCTGGATTTAAAATACTTTCTGATGATTTTCTAGGCAGATATCCAATAAGTTACAGCACAGCATTGCTCTTGTAGAGCGGTCGGTGCAGGCTGGTGGGGAGGACACAGGTCACTCCTGTGCATGCACCGGTGTCCCTTGTGCCAAAGTGTCCATCCTCAGGTAAAGAAATCGATTATATCACCCTTATGGCAGGTCGCTGATGCTCTGCTGGTGCAGCCCTGTGGTGGGCATCACCCCTTGTCCCACTGGTTTGGGGGCAGGCAGGGAGGCAATCGCTGACAGCGTGGCCGTGCCCAGAAAGACGAGTACAGACAGTCCAAGACCACAGTGATCCTGCATCCCAGACCACCTCCATCCACAGGGAGACATCACCTCTATTTTAATCCTCCAGCCTTGTGTCCCTTCCCCAGGCCTGCCTGGCTCTCTCTCTCTCTGCATTTGCTGTGCTTTGTCTCCATGGGAAGACTCGCACCTCCCCAGCCTCACGCTATCAGTTCATCATCCGATTAAAGATTAATTTGAGATTATTGCTCATGTCAATAGCCCAGAGCCAGAAAAACAATGGCTACACCTGCAGCTTGTTTGTGAGCCCTGTTCCTTATGGTGAGCTGTTAATGGATGGGGGCTTTCACCAGGACTGCCTGTTGACAGGGGCTCTCTGAGCCCTGCACCAGCACCTGCTGCCCTTGTCCAGCCAGGAATAACCTCACACACCTTCCGAGGCCTCCCACATCCCAGCCACCTCAAGTGGGAAACCCACGTTTCCTCTGCTGATCACCCCACGAGCCATCCCTGCCACAAAGCTCCGATCATTCCCTTCCCCAAATCAGAAACAGCCACCCAGTGATTGGCTTTAATAAGGGACCTTTCCCTGGATTTTGCCTGGTTTCTGTTTGTTCAGCTTTTTCTAGGTAAGGTAAGAACCAAAAGAAGAATTAGGCTGCTGCACTTTGTAGGGGCTGAGCTTTGGCTGCCATCTCTGGGGACTGCACACTTTAATGCTGGAAATGCTCCTCTGTAGGCTGTGGGGGATCCAGGAGATCACAGAATCACAAGGAGAACATTTCTGTCAGATAGGACAAGAAAGTGGAAATTTTTTTCCTTTCTACTGCCCTGGAGGTGGGAAGAGGCATTCCAGGGGCCCCCAGAGCTGCTCTTCACCCTCACAACACAAGGGCCAGGTGTGCCTCGTGCCTGTCCGTGAGAGACATGGGGACAGAAAGGGGTAAAACAGGCAATTTTGGGAACTGCAGCCTCCAAATCACTGAGGAGATGAAGCTTAGCCTTTGCAAAGGTGGCTGTAATCCTCCCGCTTCCCTTCTCATCCCCTCTGGGATACTCCAGATGCTAACAGAAGCAGGACAGGGCAGTTTCAAACAGTGTTATGGAAGCCTTAAAGCCCTTTTTAACCCGGTATCTCTGCTCCAAGGGGGTCCCACGGCAGGGTGGGTTTCCCAACACCCTTAATTCTGCGTAGGGTCAGGGAGGGGGGAAAAACACTAGTCGTCTGTGGGAAGAAAAGGCACTTTGTGGTTTCCCTGGAGCCTTTGAAAGGGCTCCAGGAGCTGAGGGGACGTGCGTGCTCATTTAAAGGTCCTGTGGAGGTCCGTGGAAATGAAAGAGCGGAGTTCAAACGCTCGACGCCGCGGCCGTGCCACCGCCCGGGGAGCGCGGCAGCGCGGAGCCGGCACCGCCCGCACCCCGGCACCGCGGCACGGCCAGCGGGGCCCCGCTACCTGCCGGGCGCTTGATTGAATCCCGGCTTTTACGAGCGCTGACACCGTAATCTGTTACAGATGGTCACACAAGGTGGTCACCAAATGGTTCCTCCGTTAATCGCCGGCTGTGTGTCCCCCCCCCCCCCCCCGGTCTCCACGGCTCCCACCCCCCAAACTGCAGCCTGCGCTACCTGGCTGAGACAGCCGGGCTGCGGCAGCGCCTTTACCGTGCGTTTAGTTCCTGCGGCACTAAAACGGAGAGGGGCGAAAAAAGTCATGCTGAGTTTTCACCATGAACCCTTCAGCCTTCGTTGTGCAGCACTGGTTGCCTGGACAAGCACAGGGGACCAAGGGCAGGGGACCACGGCACCGCTGCCAGGGATGCTGCTCGGCAGGTTTCCTTCAGAAAAGGAAATGAAAAAGCAATTGTAATTCATCCTCAAGCCCAGTCCCGGGTGCATTTCTCCATCACAGAGCCCCCAAGGTGTACGGGGGCAGGGAAAGGCCAGAGGGGATCACCCTTGTCTGCAGCAGGCTCGAGCTGCACCCAGGAGTGTCCCGGCCGTGGTCCCCAGCCCTCTGCTCACCCCAACAGCCCTCAGGTGGAAATAGGAAATACTTTTGCAGTAAGAAAATGAGCAGCTGGTCATAAGAGCAGAGATTTGGGCCACATCGATCACCCTGCGACGGGACAGCAGCTGGTCCAGACCTGGGCATCACCTGGGGAGGTCCAAGGCACTGCCGAAGGGGCGGGACATCACCTGAGCAGCCGTGTCCCCAGGGCACAGGGTGCTGGGCAGGGCAGGGAGCAGATGCAGCAGAAACCCAAGTGCCAGTGGGCTGAGCTTTTGTGATTCAGAACAGGCAGCATTTCTTTTTTCCAGTGTTTTAAGGCTGCATTTGTGTTTGAATGCCAGCGGGATTTGTCAGTCGAGCCTGGGCTGTTCACCACCCGGTTTATACCTTCCCTCTAAAAGCCTGGCGTCCCAGCCAGGCGCTGGACAAAGCCAGGAACACAACTGAGAGCAGCAAAGCTTGCTAAGGAGGAGGTTTCTCACAGCTCTCACCGCCGGCCTGACCAATATTAGTTGAAGCCCATTGAGAGGGAGCTGGCAGGAGTCCCCGGTGTGTGCCACTGCGGGGATGAAGCAACAGCCTGAATGACACGGGAAAGGGTCAGGGTCCCCATCTGGTGACAGCCATGGCACACGTGGGCGGGGGGAAGGCACAGCCGGTGCGGGTGCAGGGCCCTGGTGGGGCTCTCACATGTCATCGGAGCTGCAAAGCCAACCCCGGCCGGGGGCTGCTGCTGCTCCCAGCGTACCCACTCCTCGATCCTCCTTTCCAGCTTCTGCAGGTGGTCCGTACTCAAAATTGGTCTTTTTTTTTTTTTTTTAACTATTTAGCTGCTTTTGCGGCTCCAGGATTTTATGGATGGAAAGCTGAAAGTAATTAGTGCCCCTCCCCCGCTTCCTGTTGGGAAAAGGAAGAAAAAAGCACACACAAGAGCAAACCCAAAACTTCCTGCCCTGCTTAATAATCGAGTAATGAGTCCAACTCGGCTGGGAAAGTCAGTTTATACCGGGTGAGCTCTTAATTAAAGAAGGGCCAAGCAGCAGCTCTGCTGACTTTTACAGCCACACACGTCTTCCTGCTCCGAACAGCCCCTGCGAGAGGCGCTGGGAGCCGGACGCCCACGGGCTGGAGGGGGATCAGAGCTGGAGGGTGCCTGCTTTTATTCCCTGGTTGGAAGCAATGTCCGTGAGATAGCACTAAGGAAGTGCGGGGGGAGGGGGGAGAAAGAACAAAATTGCATCCCCTGGGGGAGGCAGGCAGCAAGCCTGGCTGCAACTGTCCCTGAAGCACCTCAGATGTGTAGGAGGCTGGGAAGTTGCAAGGCAGGTGCTTTGGGGCACTGGGAGTTTCATTATGGAAATCCTGGAGGCAGGTATGAGGGGGTACTCCGGAGGACCCACCCCTCGGTGCCCCCCAGGTATGGAGGCAGAGGGACGGCCCCACCTGTGCCGGCTGAAGAGCTCTTCGGTGACAACAGGATGGACACACCTCTGCTGCCGCACCACCCACATCGGGTCGCCCACCAGGAGGTTCAGCTCCCTGAGGCATCTGGTGCTGGAGCCATCTCTGGGGAGGCTCAGGATCCTGCCATAAGCAGTCCCATCATCCCAGCAGGGGCACAGACCTGCTCCCCATGCTCAGAGAGTGCTGAGGGACAAGGACAGGCTACAGGTGCTCCAGCAGTTCCGTGGGGAAGCCAGCACCCACCTAGGCAGGCTGGGAGGGACAAGGCAAGCCATTGTGCTTTCCCACACAGAGCCTGGGAGATCCACTGCACCCCCAGCCCACACCACTGCACAGCTGCCCCAGCCCTTTGACAGGAACTGACTCAGCCTGACTTTTCCTCTCTAGAGAACCAACTGCTTCACAGATCCCTGCCTGCAAATGGCACTTGCCAGTCACCTGCAGCCAGAGGCCAGGAGCACCAGGTAGAAGGAGAGCTGAGCCCAGCCCCCTGGTCCCCAGAGCACTGCCCCCTCACAACTGCACGTTCAACCCAGGCACCCACAAAACCCTATTATAAATTAACCATTTTATTGAATATCAATAAACTGTATATAATTATATAAAAAGTTTCATCATTACAAAATTGTGGCACAAAAATATAAATACCAGTGTACCTTTGAAATGTAAACATCCTCTTTGTAATGATTCCATGAAAACAATGTCCAAAGAAAGATGCATTCAGGAGGCACCTGTCAATACCCATAAATAGGGCTTTTGGCACACACCTGTCGATGGGCAGCCTTGGGACAGGCCACCATTGTATCAGCTGACAAGTGCCTGCTATTAGTCACAGTTCTCTTGAAAAGCAGTTGTTAAGAGTCATATTAACAGGTGCTTGAGTGCATAGCTGCTCTGTAAACAGGGCTGGGGTTTGAAATGGCTACCCCTGCCTTTCATGGACACTGTTAATCTCGCAGGCATTGCAAATTGTCATTGTGCTGGGGAGAAGCAGCTGCTTCACAACTACTGGGATACTGTATTATTGCATAGTTACACCTTCTACAGGCAGTGTATATACACTCGGGGTGGGGGGGAGGCAACGTTTTGTCCTTCATTAAAAAAATATCGGTTTTTAGAAGTTACCAAGTGGTTACGATGTTAAAAAGAAAAAAAAAAACAAAAATCCAAAACAAACAAAACCAAAAACCACCAATAGAAAAACCCCACCCCCCCAAGCTACATGGTTGCAGTGTTCGGTACCGGCGTGGGGCCAGGGTGCAGGTCCAGCCCTGAAAGGTGCCTCTGGCAAGAGGGGGCACCTGCTGAGGGGCTGTGGCAGCAGCAGGGCAGGCTCAGGGCTGTGCCCCCCGAGTCTCACACACTTGATTTGCCACCCACACTTGCCACTGTGTCCAGTCCTGCACCCCCAGACGCCAGGATGGGAGAAGTGGTCAAAGCACCAAGCCTGTCTGAGTTCAAGAAGCATTTGGACAATTCTCTCAGGCACATGGTGCGTGATTATTGGGGTGTCCTGCGTGGGGCCACGAGCTGGACTCGATGATCCTGATGGGTCCTTTCCAACTCAGGTTATTCTATGATCAGGCTCTTGCATTGCACTGGAGGCACCGAGCGAGGAGTGTGAGGGTCTCAAGGGCCAGAGGAGCTGCGTTCAGCCCGGTGCACACTGCAACGGCGATGGAGGAATCTAACTCCTAGAGAAACTAGTTATAATATAGGTTTTTGTGATGCGAGAGGCCGGGGGAGTGGAGTCCAGTCCTCAGCGAGAGCCGGAGCAGCCTGTCTCCTCGTGCTTGTGGAGCAGCGACATGCGGGAGAAAGTCCGGGAGCAGGTTTTGCACTGGTACTTCTTTACATCTGAATGGGTCTGCAGGTGGGCGCGGAGATTAGAGCGGTCAGCAAAGGCCCGATTGCAGTGTGTACAGGAAAAGGGCTTTTCACCTATGGGACAAAGAGAAACGCTCCCAATTAACCAGTGCATCAACACATGAGGAATATCAAAGAAGGAGCCATTCATTAGCCAAAGTTTGTGCAGAGCACAGTGAAAAGAAGTGCTGGCTGTTATTGTTCGGAGGGAAAGACGGGTATGTACAGCATTGCTCGGGGAAGAACCGCCGGCTTGGGAATTGCCTACTCCCAGAAAAATCTCTCCTATGAACCACGGAAAATTAATGCTGGAAACATCTGCAAGCAGCAAGGCTGCTGCACGTACAAACGAAGACACGATACTCGTCTCCTGCCCGGAGCCAAGCAAGGAGTTTGCAGCGAGGCAGGAAAGCCAAGTGCTGTGTGTTAATTATATCATAGCAGGCAGCGGCTGCGAGGCGCCAGCCCAGGGTGAGTGGAGCTATTTCCTCCGCGCTCCCCCTTCTCCTGCCCAGCTCGCATTGAAAAGCCTGGCCAGGGCGAATTCCTCCCAGAAAGACTCTTTTGGAGGAAACAAATGTGTATGCTCAATTTGGAAAGCACAATCAAGTCTACCCGGCTTCCTTCAGCCATCATCTTTAGCACGTTAAGAGGGTGTGAAATCAGTGCCAAGTCACAATTACGCTGTCCCGCAGCCCCACAAAGGATGCTCGGGAGATGCATTGTCGGGGCAGCGGGGTGGGCTGCAGCTGCGGCACCCGGAGCCGTGCCAACAGGTGCCTCCAGCACCTGCCCACAGGCCTCGCCCAGCCTTGCACATCTCAGCAGCGGGTGTGCTTGGAGCCGGGCTCATCGCTGCCAGCGGTGGGCAGCCGGGAACTGGGGCTCTGCCCTGGCCGGGAGCACTCGGTGTGGGCAGAGGAATGATTTCGGCATGGCAGTGCCCAGGAGGGAGGGCTCCAGCAGTCTCACAACTCGTTTATGAAATCCTGGTGAAGTGTGTGCTGTCGCACTGCGGCCAGTGGACCAGCTCCGGGGAGGCACTGCAGCTGCACAGGTTTACAGGCTGGGCCTTGACCCTGCGCTCGGTTTCAGCCAAGAGGATATTTAAAGGACATTTTAGAGAGATGTGCCAAGGGGGTCTGGGAAGCCCTTATCTTCCCAGATAACAGCCGGCCCGCCGATTCGCTGGGGGCAGCGGAGCAGGGAAGCGGGAGGCGATAAGAGAGGGAGGGAGAGGGAGAAGAGGGGACCTTACCGGTGTGTGTCCGGATGTGGCCCTGCAGCAGCCAGGGCCGGGAGAAGGCCTTCCCGCACATCTTGCAGACGCAGGGCAGCGTGTGGCTCCGGATGTGCATCTTGAGAGCCCCCAGGCTCACATACTCCTTCTCGCAGTATTTGCAGCTGAAAGATTTCCTGGCCTGGGCGTCGCAGTGCAATTGCTTGTGCTTGGAGAGCCCGGCGAAAGTGGAGTACGCTTTGGCACACTGGGCGCAGCGGAAGCGCTCGGCGGCAGCGGGGGCCGAGGCCGGGCTGGGGGGCCCCGAGCTCTTGCCTTCATCTTCCTCGCTGGAGAGCGCCGTCAGGTCCAGGGCGGGGGTCGCGCCTCCCGCCGCCTCGCTGCCCGGGCCGCCCGGGAACAGGCTGGAGAGCAGCCCCGCATCCCACACCACCGGCGGGTAGTAGGCGCCGGGGCCGAGCACCTCGGGCGGGGGGATGACGGGCAGAGGGCACGTCTCGTACAGCAGCGGGGCGGCCAGCACTGCGGGAGGCGGCGGCGGTCAGTGGGGCCCGCTGCTCCGGTAGGAACGGCAGCGAGGGGCCCCGACCCACCGCCGCGGGCTCCACGCCCAGGGGCGCGGGGTGCCCAGCCCACCCGTGGGAGGCTCAGTGGGACCCGATCCCAGCCCATCCATGAGAGACCCGCGCCGCACCCCGGAGTCAGAGGGGCAAAGGGACCCCAGCCCGCCCCATGGAAGCCCAGAGCCCCTAGCCCGCCCCGAGGCAAAGAGGATCGACCTCACATCACGAGGGCCCGCGCCCCTGCCCGCCCAGCCACGAGGGATGGGGCGAAGGGGACCCCATGCCCCTGCTCATTCCCGGCACGGGAAGCTCCCAACGCACCCATGCCCAACCCGCGAGGGAGTCCCCGGTGCCTCCGCCCAGCCCAGGGTACCAGGAAGCTGCTCAGCATCCCGGGACAGCAGGAAACACTCAGCATCCCGGGACACGGAGGATCCCGCGCCCAACCCCATGCGACGTGCACAAAATTGAAAAAAACCCACAACACCCCCCAAAGTCCCACAGCTCTGCAACCCTGCGAAAAGTCGGTCAGTCCCAGCCCGTTCCCGTGTGGAGCCTTAGGAAGATTCCACACAGGAGCCCCCACCCCACGCCACCCCGCGGAGCGCCCCACGTGCACGGCCCGTCCACGCACCGGCCTGGCTCTCCAGCTCGCTGTAGTTGGGCTTCTTGCTGGCCGAGAAGTGCTTCTTCACCAGGAAGGAGCGCGGCATCTTGCAGCCCCGGAGCCGGCGCCGCGGGGCCGCCGCGCTGCCGCGCCCGCTGATATGTGCGCGGGGCCGGGGGGGCGGCGCGGGGCGGGGAGGGCGGTGCGGGGCCGCCCCCGGGGGCCGCAGCCAATGGCCCGGGCGGGACGGGGCGGGCACCGGGCAGGTGTTGGTCCTGCCGCCGCCGGGGGCCGAGCCGAGCCTTGGGGAAGGACCCGGGGGCTGCTCCCGGGGGGCGGCCGTGCCGCCCGCCCGGTGCCGGAGTACGAGCGCTGGTGCTGATCCAGATGCGACGGGCCGTTCCCGGCTTCTCTCCGAAGTGTTTCCCAGTGCCGCGCTCCCCGCGGGTCCGGCCGGTGCTCCGGAGGGAAGCGGGCAAAGAGCCGTGCGGGTGATCCACGGCCCATGCCCGGTCCAGACAGACCGGACGCGGGGGGGCTGAGGAAGGCGCTGTGCCCAGGGGCGATTCCCGGGCCCCCCACGTTTTCCTGTCCTTCCTATGCCCCACGGCTGGGGACTGCGGTGCAGGTTGGGACGAGCCTCCGCCCTGCCCCGCTGGGACACGGTCCGGCAGAGAGCAGGCTTCGCCACAGGTTAATAAAGGTTAATAATCATCCGGGAAGAGGCAATGACTTGCAGAGGAGCAGGATGGATCCCGCACGGCCCTCGGTGACTCCCTCCCTCTGGCAGGGGTCAGGAGCACCTGTCCAGACATGCAGGGAAGGTTTTGAGCAGCAACCGCCCAGCAAGCTGCCCTCTGTTCTCTTCCCTCCTGCCTTCACCTGACTCCTTCCCACGGGCAGTGTGGGTCAAACAGCCCTGTTGAGGCACGTGCTCTGTTTGGCTTCCCCCTTCCCAGGGAACGTGTGCCCACGGGAAGGTGTCCAGGCCTTGCTAGCGGGTGCTGGGGCAGTGGTGAGCAGAGCTATACCAGTCCCCCAAGCCTGGCAGTTAGAAAGCTCAGCCCAGGCTTCCAACTTATCCCATCCCTCTGGCTCACGTGGGGGTTTCCCTGCTGGAAGGGCTCAGGGCACGGATCCAGCCACCTGCTGCAGGAGCAGCACTCAGGTCCGGGCCAAGACAGCTGCTGGCGGCAAGGCTGCAGGAGGAGGAGGAACAGGTCCTGCTGGGAATGCCTCCTCTGGCCCTGCCACTCGGAAAAGCACCGTGTGCTGGGCCACTTGTGACTCAACCCCTGCTGACCACGCATTACTCTTCAGCCTCAACCACATGAAATGCAGAAGTGGGAGCAAAGCTTTCCACTGGCACGGCTGCAGCACTGAGCTCACTGTCAGCTTTTCCTCAGGGCAGGAACAGCTTGGAAAGCCTGTCCTGCCAGCCATGCGCATCCTGACCAGACCAGACGCATTTGCAAACTCTTACCCTGCAGCCACGTGCTCTGGAGCTGGATCATCCTTCCTTGGCTGTGGAATTGCTCATGGCTTTCAGCAGGTGTTTATCTGCAAAACTCATCCCTGGATCAGTCTGAAGTTCAGGGGAAAATGTGCCCCTGAAGGCCTTGGGGGATGCAAATCGCAGAGGCGAGGTCCCCCCCTTTTCTCTCGGGGGTCCAGAGGTGCAGCAGCCCCTGGGGCAGGGGGCAGCAGCCCGGGTGCTGTGCAGGTGCCTCCCCCAGCCCCTCAGCAGTGCCCCCCCCCCCGTCCTCCACCTGCCACGGATGTGGTTACACTGGGGACACTCATACAAGGAACACAGTGAGGTGGTTTTCTTTCAAGAAGCAAAGCCTGCTCCTCTCTTCTTTCTGAAATGGCAATAATCTGTTCCAATCACTGCATGTGGAAAAAACTTGCCTGTGCTAGGGGAAAAACTGAGACCAAGTGACCTGACCTGCCTGTGAGCCAGGATGCTACAGGACAGAGAGCAGGACACAGAGGGGAGGGGAAGCTCTGCAACGGTTCATGGGCTGGAAGTGGCAGTGGTTTCTCAGCTGTCCCACCCTGCACTGAAGTACTGGGTTCTGGCAGCAGCTGAGCCTTAGGGCAGTTAGACTGGCCACCACCCTGTGGCACAGCTCCAATCCCAGACCCACATGGACTGGCCCAAGGACCTCACATGTACACTCCAACCACCTCCAGAGCAACAGATCTGCTACAAATTCTTATTACTTTCTTTGGCCCCATGGCTCTGTGAAGCATCTCGACTACCTGGCTGCAGAGCAGAGCACCTGGCACCAAGGGAGGCTGTGGTGGGGTGAAGGGAAGCTCTGACCATGAGCTGTGGGGATGGGGTGTGAAACCTCACTGCAAGGCTGGAGAAGCTCCCTGGAACCCACCGCAGCCCCTGAGCCCCGTGGAGGAGGCCGGGGCTGAGCACAGGGCCGGGAGGAGGGAGCCTCGCTCTCTCCGAGATGCAAGACCTCCCTCTGCTGTCAGCGCTCGCCGAGCGGCCACCGCTGCAGCGGGGCGGGGGAGCTCATCCCCTGCACTCGGGTTGGGGAACGGACCGTCACTCTCTGCATGGGGGACTAAAGCAGCTCCCAGAAGCTCCCCTGAATTCTTTGTTTAAACCAAAACGTCTGAGTACCGGGTAAAGACAGAACAAATGTGAGAAGAACTAGAAGAGAGACCCAAGTCTGTAGCAATGACACTAATTTTTCACTAGGTGCTAAGTATTTTCTGGAGTTTTGAGGGAGGAGTAGGGAAGGAAAAGCAAGGTTTCATAGTGGTTTCAACAGTCTGAAGAATAATGGAATTTGCCCATAAAACAGTGAGTTGCTTTTGATGAAGCACAGACCAATGCAACTGTGACATGAAGCTCTGCATTAGGAAAACAAATAAAACCCCAGCCCCAAAAGAGATAAATGCCCCATTATAATTTTTAGTATATTTAAAAAGAGAAAAAAAAGCTTTAGGACTATGAGCACATCCCTCATTTGCTTTTCCATGACTTAACACAGCCTTGGTTGATTAATCCTTCCTGCATTGGTCTCACCAGTATCTGTCCAGGATAGCTGGCCAAGGGCCTCAAAGGAAATTTGCTATTCTCTTGTCAATCAGGTGAAATGAGGACCTGGAATATACCACCAATGCTTTATTATGGATAGGATCCTTGACAAGATCTCATCCCCACAGCATAAGGAGACCATGGGGATTTACCACTGTAATTCCGGATGAAGCAATGCCTGTGCGTCGACAATTTGTCAGACCTATTAGGGCCAGTCGTTAGCTGGAGAAAGATGCACTTAATAAAATAGCTCAACTGCTAGCCTGTCTCCTCCCATCCTGTCTCTCTGTGCTAATTGTCCTATTAAGGCTGACTCCTTGTGCCAGACTTGGGGAATTTCACAGGTCCGAGCTGGCCCGATTGCATTATCACCCGCAATGGGCGCTCAGGGTTTGCGGCTGCACGATCAGGTGCTGACGAGGCGAGAGCAGCTCTGGCAGAAGCACTTCGCTCTTCAGCAGGGACACCCCAAGGGTTTCGAAGTCCAGACCGGCTTGTTCTATACCAACGATTTTTTAACGACCCAAATGAGCTGAACGGCTTTACACCAACCCACCGGTATCATCAGTAAGACGTACCCCTGTGTGTGTCGATGGAGTCAGCCACGGGGAGACCCAAGGCTCCTCAGCAGCTGGGCTCGGTGGAACTCCGTGTGTATCTCAGGGCAGCCCGGTGGGTGCTCAGCAGCCGGGAAGCAGTGCTGTCCACGCTGCTGTTGCTCACTGCTTACTCCTGGAACCGAACCTCAAGCACAACTAGCATGCATATTCCAGCAGTACTCTGCTATGGCAGCTGTAGTGGTCTCCACAGAAAAGCCCTGCTGGACTCTCAAGAGGTTGTTTCCATGGATTACAGGAGGATCCCACCCAAGGCTGCACCTGCAGTGCTCTGGCCAGCTCTAGCACAATTTTATCCACACTCAATCTGAACTGTTTTTCAAAACCTCCATGGTCTGCTCTTTGAAAGACCAAATAAAGTTCCAACTAATCAGAACAAAATATTTAATGGAAGCCAAAAGTTAAAGTTCCTGCATTTCTCAACATCTACTGTGCTCTCTGCAGAGTTATGCAGCTGGCAAGAAGAGTTTTTTGGGAGGTCTTCCACGAGGAAGAAATTAAAAGGGGTGAGACAAAGATAGGATTTTATAAATTAAATGGCCTTTATTTGTAACTTTGTCTTCAAAAGTCAAAAACATGACAAAGTAATTGCTCGGAAGCTCTAACTGCTCCTTAAACATTTTACCAGAATTGCATGGAAGTGCACTTAGAACAGTAGCAGGAATCTGGGTTCCTGGCAATGGGCATCACCAAACCGCACTCTAGCCAGAACCAGAGATCCCCATCCAACCCCCAATAAATTGTCATCTCTTTGCAGGTCAAGCATTAAAATAACCACCTTCAAACACAGTTCCTTTCCCACAGAACCACGAGATCCCACAATTCCCACCCTCCAGGACTGAGCTTCCAGTCCCCATGCAGGTACTTAGTGATAAGTCTGTAACAGCCCACACCAAGGGGAAAACACACTAAACCCAAGTTCAGCTGATGCATGTTAGAGGTCTGGCTGGACACAAAGTTTGATCAGAGGTTTTCAGTGGGGTGGTTTCATTATTTTCAGGGTAAGGCTACACTGCAGTCTGAAGAGCATGATGAGTAAGGTTACTGCTCAAATAAATGAATTAGTGCTCAGTTCTGGGGTGGTGCAGGTCCACTGCTCCAATTGCAATGCTTACATTAGACATCTCAACACTAAAGTGATTTACAAGTTCTGGTCGGGTGTCTCAGACTGTTACATCTCAACAGCTTGTCTGTGAAGTTACTGAAAACATCAAATTAAAACTAAGGAATCTCTGTGCTAAAAGTGTAGGCTTGAAAACAGAGTATCCATTGACCACAGACTGGAATTGTCATCCTGCTTTCAGGGTTATATTTTAATTTTTCTTGAAAGCTACACCTGACTCTACACACATACTGCTAGATGGAAAACCATCCAAGTACAGCTTCAGCTGCTGTGGGAACATTTAGATGAAGAACAGGAATTCA